GAAACGGAGTATTCGTGGAAAAGGGAGTACAGGGGCATTACTATACAATTCGATTTTAAAGGTAGTACATTTTGAACAAAATTGTTCTATTCAATATCAATATTGTCAATGAAGGCAAATATTTCTTAAGTTCCCTTCAAGAAATTAATACAAAAGTAATCTGACAGCTAACTTTGTAAGAAAATAATTGGCCTTTTCATAAACAAACTGCGCTATATTTGTATTCATAAACAAATGTTGCTAATAGAGTTTTCTCATAAACATTGCTAACCTATCACAAAAATATTTAAACTATCATGGCTACCGCAGTTAAATCAGCTGTACTTTTTTTTTTTTACTAGTTTTTGCAGTCTTTTTAGGAATTCGTCTGTTAACTGTTGTACTTAAAAATAAAAAATTTCTTTTTATTTCAGTTTTGTTTTTGTTTCATAAAAATTTGTTTATGAACACAAATACAGCGCAGTTCTCACTATGTATCGCGATATACTGCGTTTATGAAAAGGCCTAGAATTTTCGTTTAATTGGCCCAAAAAAAATACATTTTTAATAAACACAATATTGCAAATTCATAATAGCAAAAGTTTTTATACAACTGTTAAAAATATGGGTATGTATCACATACGCAATATATGCACTGTCGCCACTGAGCCAATTTTCACGAAAATTTCATATGTGAGTTTATTTTACCTATTCCACGCATTGATCAACTCTTGTGATATGTTAGGCCTCGAGAACTGGACCTCTGCGGGGATCGATTTTTCATTTTTGCGTATATAAAGGGAAAGAATCGCGCATTTTTTTTTGAAATTTTATGTACAAATTTGGGGTGGTAAAATAGTGAACCTATAAATTTTTGAAAAGATCAGGACTCGAAAGCTGAAATACAGGCCGATTTTCCTTTTTTTACCATATCTATAGAACTCATTGACGGAATTTGTTCAAATTCAATACTCGGTTTCATGGAATTTAAATGTCACATAGCGAAACTCTACTGTACATACAGTAAACTCTTTCAAAATTAGTTAAGCAGAAAACCATGCAAAAAATATACGCATCCATCGCAAAATGAACTGTTCGAAAACATTGGAAATAATTATTGAAAAAATTAATACATATTGGAGAATTTAGGGTATAATCGGAAAGTAATCGATGCAGCATCGATGTGTAATCATATAAAAATCATGTATGAAAATGCATGATTGAAAAGGTACGGTAACACTTTAAAGTTTTGTGTCCAAAAATGTCAAAAATTCGTATCATATTAAATCAGCTGTGCATTAATTTTTTTGTGATTTAGTATTGATACAAATTTTTTAAATGGAAACTGAGAAGTAAATAATTTATTATCTTAGCTCAATAACTAATGAAGTTAATTATTTCTTTATGCACAGTATTACGAGTAATATTTTTAAATTTTCTTTTATATTAAAATCTCCAAAACTTAATTGAAATTAAAAACTTTTTTTAAGTGGTTAATAATTTTAATACTTTTACACAAAATCTTTTCCAAATAAGCGCCAAAAAACATAAAATTTAGAAGGTGTCCAAAAATGTCAAAATTATATTTCAACAAGGTACATGCCTCACATCGGTATAGCATCAGCAACATTTTTTTGCATCGACGCTGCATTGATGCACATTTTTGATTACTTTTCGATTATACCCTTTATTTCAAGCCTGCATGAATTGTGCATCCTAAATGTATGCAATGAAAGTAAATTTGTTAATTTAGGTTTTTAAAAGCACTATTTTTACTTGCTGGAGGGAAAATTGCTACTTTACAAACCATTGGTTTGCAACAGCTTTATTTATTCTTCACTTTAGTCCATAGGCAATACTAAAAAAAAGTAATATAAATGTGAAATCAATCATAACTCATAAGCTCATACTTAAACTTGAGATAATAACTGTTCAAATGTTTCTACTTAAATACAAATTATAAAAATAAAATAATTGCCATAGTTTTAGGTTAGGTTTTGAAAAAAATAGTAACAAATAACGTTTAAGAAAACGTTTTCGCTGCAATGTTTCATGTTCTATATTGTATTTCAAAAGCTTCCAAATATAAAGTAAGTTCCAAATTGTTTGAAAATCTGTTTGAATACGCGGAAAAAGCAGAGAAAAATTTGCTGATGCTTTTTATAAATTTTGTTTGTGGTGCTGCCACTGAATGTAAAATTTATTAAAATCTTTCTGTTTGTTAAATATTTAAACAGTATTTTGGCAATCTAGTAGAAAAACTTAAAAGCTCGAGTTTAAAGGTGATTTAAAAACGATTTAAAACAGTTTTTTTACAATTTGAAAGTCACCCAATATGTAAGAAATTGGCAAGAATAAGAATAAAATAAAAACAAAAAAAAACTATTGCCAAATGCTTACTTTTAAAACTCTTGCCAATTTTTTCGCTGGAAAGTTGGATTTTACGCGAATGTAGTAAAACCAAACTGTAAATGTAGTGTACTCTACTCCATGTAGTGTTCTGTAAATCATAAAATTATTCATGCGCATAATTTTTGATATTTACTATACATATGTATGAATGGCAAAACTTGTTTTAATATTTCTTAACGTTTTACGGCTTATGGTCAAAAAAAAAACTTAACAATAACAAATTTGTTTTAAAGTTTTTTATCAAAGATTAACTACTGAAAGAGTGAAATTACTCATAGCTTAAACTGTTACGGAAACCTAATGCAATTTTTTAAAGCCCAGTCAGGTCACTATAAAAATTATATTCAATATTATGTAGCTTTATAAACATTACGTATAAAAATAAAAAAAAAATTAATATCAAATAATTGCCATATTTCAATAATATCCAATATTAAAAAAAAATACCAGAAAAATAAAATAGTAAATATCAATAATCTTAACTATTTAATATAAAAAAAAACTACGGTACGCTACCTACCTAGTAAACTTAATGATGTAAGAAACTGGTTCATGGCTATGTACAATATCGTGCACCAGCCCTACGCTCTTCTCAGGAGCGAAGTAGAAATAAAAAAATATGCAATTTGTGATATTATCATATAAAAATTCTTTTTTCTACATTTGTCATGTATAGCAATTGTGACGGAGAAAAAGAAACTTCATACAGGGTGATTCAGTAAAGAGTTCAATATTATATATTATGGTTTAGGTATGGATTTGAACATTTTCATATTTTTATTCTATTTATTCAAAAAATTTTTTTAAGTATAAGTCTTAATTTGTTTATCATTGCATTTGATTATCAATAAAAGTCTAAATATTTTACAATAATGCAGGTGTTTGTGTTATTTCAAGCTTCGTACAAAATTCAATCATAGTTTTTATATACTCGGCCTGCACTTTTGTGACGGCTATACTTACTTTGGTATGAAGTTTTTAATAACTTGAAGGAATCGTCTCCGGTATATATATTCTTGCTCTAATAATATATCCTTTAAAATTTCATTAAAAATCTTAAAATTTTATTTTTTTACTATATTAACGACTCTTAAAAATGTGAACTGTTTTTCAAAGTGAATGTTGTGATCATTTATATTTTTACTATATTAACGGCTCTTAAAAATGTGAACTGTTTTTTAAAGTGAATGTTGTGATCAAAAATTAGTAATAGTTGACAATTACAGCATTCAAAATCAATCAAAATTAAAAATAGTGACCAATTTTTGATTTTCCACATTTTATTAGGACTCTTAAAATCTTGACATAGAAATGGTTTTTATACTATATCTCCTGTATCATAAAAGATATTTTAACGTTTAATGGTCTAAAATTAAAGCTTAAGCAGCTGGGTAAAATTCTGTGTCAAAAAAATTTAAAATTTCTGAAACTTTTACACAAAATTGTGGGGTTGTTCGGTAACTGTTTGCTGATGGAGTTGTTGCCTACCGGGCTTTGCATAACTGAATTACTAATGTAATTAGTAATTCAGTTAGTTTCACTCTGCCCGTCTGTCCGTGTGTCTGTTTACAAAACTTCTACTTTAACTATTTATTGCAATGAAGCCATAAACATTTTTCAAATTTTGCAAAAGCAGAGAAATAGTAGATGGCTTCTTTTATTGCGGGATACTATTTCTGGACTTTTAGAAAACAAAATGACTGTTAAAATTTACCGTTATCTAAAATCCGTTTTTTCTAAATTTTTGATGCCGCTTTTCTTCTACACCGTACGTTACAGAAGTCTGAAATTTTAGCAGCTCTTAAATATTCATAGTTTATTTATTTTTAGTTTATTATTTTAGAATAGTTTATTTCGTTAGAAGAAAAGTTTTTCCCATCTCCACCCCCTCGTAAGTTATCACCTTTCGAAATTGGTAAAATTTGAATATTGACACATTATATTTGTGAAACCTTTTTAAAAATTTCTATAAACGAAAAAAGCTAACGGTAAATTCCGTGTCATTAAAAAATATAATTATTTTTCTTAACTCATACAGTTAACCTTTAAAATCGAGCATCATGTGAACATTTCTTTAAATTTATTTTTGCTTTATTTCAGACTGCATAAATCGTTCATCCTAGATGTATGCAATCCTAAAATAACTTTGTACATGAATGAAAACAATTTTAATAGTGTCGTAGGTATACATAGACTACATTAATTAAAAGCAGTATTTCCATTTGTTGAAGGGAAAAGTGCTACAATACAAACCATTGGTTTGACCCAACTTTATTCTAGAAAACTTTTATTGTTTGATATGATGTGTCACATCTATTTTATTCAAAAATTACCACTGATTCGAATTTTGTAAATTTAATATTTTTCTTTTTAAATATTAAGGCTAAAAAGATGGCTTCATTTATTTATAAATCTATGTAAGTTAACTATTAAAAAAATTATTTGTTTCTTAACTGAACTCCTTTAAATTGCCGAGTTTTTGACCTTTGGCTCGACTAAATATTCCAACATTGTAAATTCCAGTGTATAGATAGTTTTTAAGTTTAACTAGAATTTCTTTTAAAAAACAGTAACTTCTATTTATTAAACTAGTATTTTATGTTAATTAGTTTTCAGAAAATTGCGGTACATTTAGGAATTTCAAGCGATTAACAATTTCACATCAACATTCTTAGATTACTCATTTCTTGCACATTTATTGAGCGTTTTTTTAAGTTAAATAAAAATATCTTACAATGTCTACAGTTGATAAAGAGGAATTGGTGCAAAAGGCAAAACTTGCTGAACAATCCGAAAGGTTTTTTTCTTTATCTTTTGTGAAAATTTTTGTTTTTATATATATTTTGTTTATATGTGTTAAGGTATGATGATATGGCGCAGGCAATGAAATCAGTTACAGAAACCGGAAATGAATTATCTAATGAAGAAAGAAATCTATTATCTGTGGCGTACAAGAACGTAGTAGGAGCCCGTAGGTAATTGCAAAATATAATTTGAGTATACATCAAAGCAATCGCTAATGTTTAAATGCCTTTAGGTCATCATGGAGAGTAATTTCTTCAATTGAACAGAAAACGGAAGCTTCTGCTAGGAAACAACAATTGGCCAGAGAATATAGGGAACGTGTGGAAAAAGAACTTAGGGAAATTTGTTATGAAGTCTTGGTGAGTACAGTAAACCACATTAATTACAAAAACCAATCTAATTGTTTTCGTATATTTTAAATTTCAACAATTAAGAATAATTCCATAAGATTATGATTATTTTTAAGTGGATACTGGTATTTGTACTGGATTTTTAAACAAATATGAAATATGATATCTGCACAATGGAAGTCATGAAAAGTTAAAAAATGGTTATGCAATTTCATTCTTAACATCTCTTAATAATGAAGTTTAGAAAAAGGAAGAGTTTTTCTGCTCTGTACTTAAAATAAAATTTATATTACTATATATAATATAATTAGTAGTCCGATTGTACTAATTCAGTATAAAATTATTCGCCTGCAACAAAAAAATGCGTATATAAATTTCCCTATATGAGATATTTGTGTGCATACGAGAAGATGCAATGAAATTGTGGTAGTATCTGAAATGCATACATAGTTATGCACGCATGTGAATACTAGCACCAACAAACTTAGCAACATTTGTTTATGAGCACAAATATAGCGCAATTCTCGCTATATATCGCGATATACCGTGACTTCAATAATGCTGTAAAAAATATTTAAGTACGGTATTAATACGGTTGTAGTACCGTCTCAAAGCTCTCAATACCTTTAAATTGTAAAAAAAACTACTAAAGCTTTTCGTACATTTTGGAATACAATTTTTACAATATTCCCCTCTATTATGAACATCGGTATCGGCCGATATATTATCGGCAGTTCTAATCGGTTTTAAATTTCTTCTGTATTATGAACCGATACCGATAAAAATATTTCAACCGATTAAAAGAAGCTTTTTCATACAAATTTTTGTTTTTGTAAATTGGAGAAAAAGTTTTTTTTTTTTCTTATGACATTTGTTTTCTTTCAAAAGTTATTTTCAAAAAATTTTTAAAACTATTTTGAATTTGGTTTTGATGTGCTAAAAAGTTGTTGTAAGCAAATTATTTTCTGTTAAATTTGTAAAATAAAAATATACATATATCGGGAAAATGTCGCGTGTATTATATTTTGAAAGTGAAGAAACGGTAGTAAGTGAAGAAACGCAAGCTACTCAAAGACGACATATAAGAGATTCAACTAATCCATTGGATTTAGACAACAAAATGTATGTTTATGTACCTATTTTATTTTATTATTTATATAATATGTACACATTTTTTAGGTTTATCCAGAATTTCAGATTATCATTCCTTGTCAGGTTTAAGTCCTCTTCCATTTTTTCTACTAACCGCGCAATTTGTTTTTTGTTGCTTACGATTTTACTCCTAAATAAAATATATGAATAACATTTTGAAAGAAAATAATTTAGAAAAAATGCTTACATTTTAAAAAAGCAATTAATTACACCAGTTTCCTTGATAAAATGAAGATTTTACAAAAAAAAAAATCTGTCGTCTAAAAATTTGTACCCGCTTTTAAATCGGTGAAAATCCGACAATTTATCGTTTTCATAATACCAGCTAATACGTTTCCTATACAGGAAAAAAAGCTTTCCCGACTCCGATAAAATTTACCGATAAACAATGTTGGTAATACAAACACAAAATTTTGCCGATAAATTATCGTTTATCGGCCGATACTGATATACATAATAGAGGGGATTATTACATACTTTGAGGTTTTTTTGAAAAGTTCAATTTAAAGTTCTGTGCAAAAGTTAATTTTTAACAAACATTACCAAGTCATTAAAAATATTGCATTTTTATGCTGCATTTTGCTGAAAATAAATGCTAATTTAATTGGTTATTTATGGCAACATTTATATGAGAAGGTATAAGAAAAGCGTACTCGATTTTTTCTATACCCGATTTACTTTTATTTTACGTCTCCACTACGTATAAAACGCGTTTTGGAAAAGTGTACAATGTCAAGAGCTTTTACTAAACTTTTTGAACAATTAAACACAATTGAAATATTTTAATTAAAATACAAGTTTTTACTTTTATTATTGTATATTAGAAATTATGTTTTTTTTTTTCAAAACCACTTCTTTCTTAAAAACTAATTAAACAAAAACCATTCTTCATAGCTTTGTGAAAACATAAAAAGGAATAGAATTTTTTAAGTTTACTTAAGATCAATAAAAATTCATTTATTTGCACATATTGATTCGGCAAATGTAGTTCATTTTTAGCACTTTTCCAAAAAAATTTTGAAAAAAAGTGCTTATTAGTTTCACTCTGTCCGTCCGTCTGTCCGTGTGTCTGTTTATAAAACTTCTACACCCTTGATCTTTACTAGAAACTTATTTCGTAGAACAAAATTTAAGTTATACCCCCCAAAACCATAAAAATGGCCTTTTGAAATTTTGCAAACGCAGAAAGGCAGCGGCTTGCTTTCCCTAGCGCGGCATACTATAATGCATATTTTTATAATGCATATAAAAATATTAAACAAATTGGTGAATTAGCTGTACCTTGCTGCAGACCATTTTCAATTTCAAATTTTTTTGAATGCTTCCCGTTAAAAGAAAGAACTTCAAAAGTCTATTCCTAATCATATTGTTAACTAGTTTTACACAATGTGTTTAAACCATCAAGCCAAACTGTGTCGAGTGCCTTCTCCAAATCTAGTTGGGTCATTGTATGTGTTGTGTTATGATTATATCGGAAACCAAACCAACTCAAAGGGATTATGTCTCTTTTATTTGTTTCTTGCGTAAGAAATCTATTAATAATAATCTCAAAAACTTTACTTATATTAGGTAATAAACTAATGGGCCTATAAGGGTTTGGCCCAGGTTTTTCCAAGAAGTTGGGAAATAACTTAAATTTAAACAGTCATTGAAAATAATACAATACATCTCTAACACAGAATCCAAAAGTTTTTTTAATACTATATTCGCTATGCAATCAATTCCCGAAGAAATTTTATTTTTCAGAATTCCTAATATATTTTTAATATCATCTACTGTAGTAAAATAGTTTTCAAGTCTTTGCAGCTCGTTCAATTTATTTGATCGCGTTGCATCATGAAAATTTATCAATACAACTCTGTTAATTTCATGATTTTGGATTAGAGAATTAAGATTACTTATAGTTTCTATAATTTGCGGGACTGTTGGAGAACATCTTCCAGAAGTTTGTTTATATATTGCACACAAATGGGCGACCCTTGTACCTAAAATTTTCCTCAATATACTTATTAGCAACCCTTTGCATATTTTAATTGATGTTCAAGTTATTAAGTAAATTATTATTACTAGTTTGAATCGATAGTCTCCTAATATCTTTCGTATAATTTTTTCTAAAAATATTTTTTGTTTCAGAGAAAACGTTTGCGTTATTGGTCTTTTTATGTTTTTTATTCTCCTTTTCCAGTATTTATTGTTACACGTTATTTCTTTTCACGTTAATTCTTAAATTCTGTTTTATTATAGAATTAATGTTGTTGAAAAGTAAATTAAGTCTCAAAAGTACTAAAATTATTTGTACCTGAATATTTTTAAAAGATTGCATACGTTTAGGATAAGCAATTTAAATATCTTTGAAATACATAAAACAAAAAAAATTTAAAGAGGCACTAACAGAATACTCGAATTTAAGGGTTTGTTGCGTGAGTTAGAAAAACAACTATTACCGACCGCATTGTGTGTACAATAGGTAGGTTATGTGATGGCAACAAATTTTACATAACGAGTTTTTGGTGGGAACGCACTTCTCCACAGTAGAGAAGTGTAAATAAACTATTTTAAGCAACCTGTCGGTCTGTGTGTGCACATCTTAAGTTCGGCTAAATGGATTTTGAAGCAATTTTATATGTAAGTTTATTTCAACTATGGCACGGATTGACCAACTTTTGGGATATATCAGGTTTCGGAAACTGCACTTTTTAGTGGGCCTGTTTTACATTTGTGACTATTTTGAAAAAAATATTCAATCGATTTCATGTATAAGCTTCATATATAAGCTTCATTCGACCGTCCGTGAAACTTCCTAATTTTCAGAAGAAAGCAAGCGTCAGCAACTGGACGTTTACTACGGGCTAAATATACATTTTTGCGTATATAAAGAGAAATAATCGACCGATTTAATTAAAATTTAAATTCGTAAATTTGACTTAAAGTAAATTGTAATAAGCGATTTTTCTTTTATAATGAAAAGAGGAAACTTGCCCTCTTGGAAGTGGAAGCCCTCTTGAAGATTTTGCACAGCCGTAAAACTGATACTTACTTTCTCCTGACCTTTCTGGTTTCCAGCTTATTTCGTTCGGTCCTAATATTACTTTTAAGCGCATTGTCACTTTGAGAATTTTTCTGATTCTCCAATTCACTGTCTTGGACTTCAAGATTAGCTTCAAATGCTTTTTCCTGGTCTTGACATTACTCTCACGTTCATTATTTTCGTAATACGGATCAGCCTGCTCATTATTAATATTAGTTTTCTCATTGTGTCATAATGAGAAAGTAGGAAATGAATATCATAGGTGACACATCTTCATCTTAAAAAACTATTTTTTGATCATTTTTATCTTTATTCAGTTTTTCTTACTACCAATTTTACCATTTTCCTTAATTGACTGGCAAAATTAACTTATCATCTACGTTACACGATAAGAATTTCAACGAAAAATATATTTCTATATATTTTGAATTTCATGATGTTACTTAATCATAGCACTGCGTTTATAGCTTACAATGATATACAGAAGGTAATTATAATAATTACACAACAAACTACTTATTTGAGTTGCGCTATTTTAAGTTAAAAAATACTCACGAGCGCCCCTTTAAAAAAATAGTTTTTCGTGTCATTACAAAAATTATCTTCTGTATATTACTATAAACTACATAAATACACAATGGTTAAGTATAATTTTTCTGCACTATATCTTTTATAATTAAACAAAACTAAAACAGGTAACAATGTTTTAGTCGGTATAAACCGACCGAATTATTCCTCTGTACCTAGGCAATCTGAGTTTAAAATTTGTTTTTGAAATGTATAGAATTAGGTTTTCTTTGTTGTATACCAAGTATTCGAACCTGACAAACCCCTCTATAGAAACTGCACGGATATATCTCACCTATAATTGGACACATAACTGCAAAGTTTCATGAACCTAACTTTATTATTTTTTCGAATATTTTAAATTAGCTTTTGCAGTTATGCAAGTGCGAGTCAAGCAATTTCAACAAAATTTCAGGAATATGTGTGGCTTGAAATTAGACACACGACTGCCAAGTTTCATGAGTATAACTTTATTATTTTCCCAAATAATTATATTTAGCTTTTGGAGTTGTATGGCAGCTACCTGAATCTATCAAGTTATTCCAACAAAACTTCAGCAATATATGAGACCTACAATTGAACACATGATTGCCAAGTTTCATGAATCTAGCTTTATTATTTTTCCAAATACTGAAAATTAGCTCGTAGTTGTATGGTAGCTACACGAACCTGTGCAGCCATTCCATATAAGACCTTTAAGAAACTGTTTGTTTGAAGCCCCTATCTTTTTCGAAACGGAAGTTATAATGAAAAAAGCTTAGATAACTAGAAATCTCGTGAAAATTCGTTAAAATCCCTGTATCTCGAAAACCCTTGAGATTTCGCTCCTACTGCGGAACAAAGGTTTTATCGATTTTCGGCCCTCTAACCAATGGTATATGTTGTTATATACCTTTCTTTAATTTTTCATTACAAACATCTTAAATGAAAAAAAAATGTTCGATATTCTCCGGTGCAATTAATTAAGTAAGTCGGTTAGATTTAACACTTTTACTAAATACGTATGTAGTCATTAAATAAACATATTCTATTAACCCGACGCATATGCTAAGAGCTGCTTTGCAACGACAAATAAAAAATAAGAGCATGTATACGACATTTCCGCCTAACAGAAATTAGTCTAAATTCGTATTATTTATTTTGCTGTGCTACAAAGATGCCCTAAATAATATTGACGTAAATTATTTTAACGTATTTACTAAATAATCCTAAACAATACACAAATTAGTTTAATAGAATAGCAGTACAAAACAATTTTTCGTCCAAAATTATAAACTTGTTTCTACTTTAGCTAAAATTGCTATTATTTAAATCGAATATCGCAAACTTGTGGATGCCTTAGTAGCAAGTGGTACTACAGAATGATGCATACTTTTCGTTCAAAACTGTCAGAAATGTCAAAAGCAAAAAATTTTGCGATGCAGTTTTGTTACACAGTACCAAACCACTTGAGAATCGCAAATCAACTTACGCAAATTTGCGAGTTTCGCATTTATATATAGGAGGCCACCTGAGTTCCCAATTTAAGATTCTTTAAGAATTTTTTTCAGCAAAAAATTTAGTATATTTATTATTAAAATTCTTTCATCATTAGCAATATTTTTATTTTTCTGATGAACAATTTGTTTTATAAAAATAAGAATTAACACAAGAAAAAACTTATTATTAAAATAAACAAGCTAAAAAATTGAAAAGTAAATATTTTAATAAGTGAAATGGGAATTATGTATATGTATATTATTTATGTTCGATTTACGTGTTCAAACTACTTAAGAGTAGCAACAACTAAGCATGACTGCACTATCTCGAACAAATGCGAAAATGTACGGTATATTTTACTTTATTTTTTTCCAGCAGATGTAAATAGTATATCTGATTTACAAAAGATGGTGTGTGGTTTTTGGAGTTATTTTGACATATAATTATAAGTTTTTGAAAAATCATTTTTATTAAATTGGCATTTGAACAAAAAATAAAAAAAATCTTATGTGGTACAGCTTATGTATGAAGTTTGAAGTAAATCTTTTGAATATTTTCTTCAGAATGATCAAAAATGTAAAACAGGCCCGCAAAAAAGTGCAGTTCCCGAGGGCTGATATATCCCAAAAGTTGATCAATCAGTGCCATAGTTGAAATAAACTTACATATAAAATTTCCGGTGGGAATGCATGCCAATTTCTCCATGGTAGGAAAGTGTAAATAAACTATTTTTAGCAACCTGTCGGTCTGTGTGTGCACGTGTGTAACTCAAGTTCGCCAGAACCGATTTTGTTGAGATTTTATATGTTGGTTTATTTCGGGCATGGCACGGATTGATCAACTTTTTAGTGGGCCTGCTTTACATTTTTGACCATTTTGAAGAAATTATTCAACCGATTTAGTTGAAATATCATATATAAGCTTCGCTCGAGCATCCGCGAAATATTCTAACTTTTGGAAAAAATCAGGCATCAGCAACTGGAAGTTTACTACGGGCTGATCATTTTGCGTATATAAAGAAAAATTATCAACCGATTTAATTAAAATTTAATATTTAAATTCTTCGTATTAATACAATGAACATAAAATTTTTTTGGAAAGATCAGGGTTTGAAAACTGACCTGCTGGCCGATTTTTCACTTTTCACCATATCTACTGAACGAATTGATGGAACTTCTTGAAATTTGATATTTGAGTTCTGGTTGTTACCGAAACCAACACGGCGAGCATTTCAGGGGATTCGGGTACCACAAAGCGAAACTCTACTAAGAGCCAAATTTCAATTTTTCGAGGTTTGTTAACTACAAGCTTACTAATGTCCTAAAAATTGGAAAGAAGTATTTAACAGACATTTTTATAATATTCTGTAATATTTTCACTTAACTAGGCAATACACATTGCGGTTGGATATGTACTTCATCAGATTTTTTTAAATTTATTATACGAATGCACTAAATATTTTTTTAAATGATATGCATCATCAGAATTACAATTATTAATTATTACTTTTGTATACATAAATGAATAAATTCGTATATGCCTATACACACAGATTATTATTTCATACAGTATACATTCAATCGTACATATATAAGGGAAATCGTCTCATATAACATATATAGAAGCAAGATACGCAAAAAAATATCCAAAAATACACATGTATACATAATTTATATTGTCTGAAATGTATAAGATCAACAGTAGTGCGTACACATATAACTCTTGTAAAGGAAAACTTTTATATTAACTTAGTAGAAATTTCTGCATACAACTGCAGAACAGATTAGATGACGTAATCAAAGAAACGAGTTAAAGGCAGAAAAATCAAAAATTTTTCTCTTCGAACTGGACTTGAATCAGTGACTTACTGTTTTCTAATCGGACGTGCTACCAACTGAGCTACAGAGGTATGAAGAAATTGCCAACATTGCTTTCTACTGCAATCCGCTAAGTTAATATTATTAGTATGTTAGGCACATTACTTATTAATTAAATACTAATTAATTACTAATATGTACATACATATACATTTAAATAATATTTTTATTGTTGTATTCTAATTTTAGGGTCTTTTGGATAAATATCTTATCCCTAAAGCGAGTAATCCAGAAAGCAAGGTATTTTACTTGAAAATGAAAGGTGACTATTACAGGTATTTAGCAGAAGTTGCTACTGGGGATGCACGTAATAGTAAGTACCACATACATTAATAATACCCAATAAATTGTTATACATGAAATTTAAACAAATACCTACTTACACAACTTACTGACGTTTTGAACTTTAAATATACACTTTTTATTTTTTGAAAAACATAATTTTTTTAAAAACATTAGATAAAATTTACGATTACTATCATTTCTACAGCCGTAGTTGATGATTCACAAGCTGCTTATCAAGACGCCTTTGAAATTAGCAAGGGTAAAATGCAGCCAACACATCCTATTAGATTGGGTCTTGCATTAAATTTTTCAGTCTTCTATTATGAGATTCTTAATTCTCCAGATAAAGCATGCCAATTGGCCAAGCAGGTCATTACATATTTATTTAAAAATTTTATGATTTCTAAGTTAAGAAAAAATTGTTGCTGCTTCATTTCTTATTATTCATCAAATTTTAAAAATATCTGTGTAGGTACAAAAAACAGACGTTAACAAAAATTTCTCAATCAATAATTTTGATTCTGAACAACATATTAGGTTTGACGGATATCAATGCTACATATAGAACATTTCATGTATACCACATTTTATGTACGTATTAAGTTTTAATTTTTTAAATTTTTAAAATAGCTGTAGTTGAGGATTCTCAAAAGGCGTATCAAGAGGCTTTTGATATTGCAAAAAATAAAATGCAACCAACACATCCAATTCGATTAGGCCTCGCTTTAAATTTTTCGGTGTTCTATTATGAAATTATAAACTCACCAGCGAGGGCTTGCCATTTAGCAAAACAGGTTTTTAATTTTATTTTAATTTTTTTTTGGCTTTGATTTATTTTATAAAATAATTTATGTTAACAATGCCAAAACTACACTTTTAATTATTTAATAGTGTACCCTTGAAACAGTTTTTTGTTTTTTTTTTTAAGTTGTATGCTTCAATAACGTAAATATGAGTTTTAATATGTGAACTAGACTGTCTATGTAACGTGATACTATAAACTTGAAAAATATAAAAGTAATATTGTATATAACTAAGGTTTAACAATTATTAATTATCCGTCTACTAACAATTAAAATATCCCAATTTGAAGTTATTCATAATTTTATACATAAATTTGAAAATTTTTGCAGCAATGATTTTATCGAATAACATTTGAGTTTATTAAGTGGAAATTGTTTTGTTATCAAATAAAATGTGTTTTCATTTTAAATTTAAACATTAAAAAAATTTTGTCAAAAAACATTAAATTTAGTAACAACCTAAAAGGAATTTTAAATAATAATTAATTTTGTTATTTTTTATGTGCCAATTTTAAATCCAAAACGTTTAGAAAATATAATAAATTTGAGACACATTTAATTATTGACAAAACAAATTTGCTTATCAAATTATTTTGATTTTAATTTTGAAGCAAAACAAACGATATTTTTGTTCTATGTGACAATGTTCTTTTGTTCATTGTTGTAAAATTATTTGTAGGCGTTTGATGACGCGATAGCTGAGTTGGATACCCTTAATGAAGATTCATATAAAGATTCAACACTTATTATGCAATTACTAAGAGATAATCTAACATTATGGACGTCGGATACGCAAGGAGATGGAGACGAGCCCCAGGAGGGCGGTGACAACTAACCAAATTAAATAGTTTCTTTTAATTAAAGAATTATAAAAGAAGCAGGCAAAAATAAAAAAAAATAAAACAAAAATTATATTTAATATTTTTAAACCTGCATAATAATACAAGGCATTAAAACCAAACGGTATTTTCAATTTTTTTCGTAAGCGACTTATTATCAATGATAAAAAACAAATCAGATAAAATTTTGCTGATTGAATGTGAAAATTAAAAGAAAACACATTGTATTGTTTAATTTTTTTGTTTAAATTTTTTAAATTTTTTAACATTATAAATATCAAGATACAATTCACTTCTTATAAGTGAAATTAATCTTTTCTGAAAATGCGTCTAAAATCGATGTATGATATATTTTTTTAATATACATATATACATATGAAATTAGTTTCATAATATATAAAAATGAATTGTAATTTTTGTACATTTTTTATATTTTGTTAAAGATAAATATGTATATTTTCTTTTGTTTAAAAAGGAAAATTTTAACACGATAAGTTTAATAACAAAAAGCAGGGGTATGTTTAACTCTTTTTATAACCATGTTTTGAAAAGTTTCAAGCTGTAAAAAGAAAGAAATGTATGAAATATTTTAAATATAGAAATTGCTTATCTAAAAACCTTTAAATTTGCAGCAGTCAATAATACATAAACTAACAGTTTTTATTACTACTCAAAAAATTACTCAAAAATGGTTGAAATTAAAAGGCTTACTAAACGAATTTCCAGTTTCTAATTGTATGAAATTAAAATATTTCGAAATTTTATTATTTTACATACCTATATGTTACACCTTTCAAGAATTAGAAAAATCAAACTCAGTTATGTAAGCCCAAATTCTGTATAATTTTTTGCACATAATTGAGGTGTAAATAATACACGCGTCAAATATGCATTTGCATAATATATATTATACATACATATGTATATATTTGGTGAAATATATTTGATGATATATGCAAGTATACATACATGGTCAATGTGTACAAATGCATGTAGACATATATGTATGTATGCAAACATATGCATAGCTAATCACAAAAGTTTCCGTAAGATCAAGAAATTAATTGCTTTAACAAATTTTTTTTAAACAAAAATTTAGTCTGAGACTGATTTTAATGTAGGTTTCTGAATACAATTCTTTATTTTATTAACGTTAAAGCTGAAAAGAATAATTAATTTTTCGATTAAAATCTCACTTTTCATGATTTAAATATTCACGCGCGGAATTTTTTGTGATTATTTGCGATATAATGTTCACATAATGTAAGATTGTACTTATATGTAGATGAAAATGAAAGTAAATAATAACTTACATTATATACTTACATGTATATATAGTATATATAAATGTATGTAAAATGTTCTATATGTAATATGCGTACACATATGCGTATATTATATTTATATATAATATACATATATACACCTACACATGCATGTACGTCTGAGGCATTATAAACATTTTGTGTCGGCACATGCATATATAAACACTTTAAATAAAATATATCTTTTTATATTTACGTTTTCACGCATTTGAATATGTATTTATATGTACATGTACGTTAAATTGTATGTACATGTACACGAAACAATCTGCATAAATATATTATATAACACATATATACATATGTAGAAACATATAATAACTCAAGACCTTATGTTAATGATTTACATATGAAAAGAAATAAAATATTTGAAAGGTTGATTCATTCAAAAAATTTTCAAAGTTTATATTCGGTTTTTATCTAAATTAAGTCCCGTCAAATAAAACTTGAGAAAATACCTATAAAGGTTGGCAAGACATTTAATAAAAAAATATACAGTTGCTGTAGTTTTCAGTGTTATACGAAAATCTATGACAAATTTTGCTTTAAATTTTAATAAATTTGACCAAAACTTGTGAAAACTATTTTGTTGTTTTTATTCTTGTTTAAATGAAGTGGTTTTCTTTGATAAAGTTATACATACATGTGTAATTCCTATAATATATTAAGAACTACCAAAAATTTATTGGTTAGTTGCCAGGAGGCATATTGACTAAGTAATAAAACTTATCTATGAGTATTATAGATTTTTTTTCGTAATACTAATTATGTATTATGCTTCATCTTAATAAGTAACAGAATAAGGAGCATCTTGTGAATATGTGCGAATTTTTAAATGTCAAATTTTATATAATTTTCTGTCGATTTCGAAATTGGCATTTTTTCATTTTGGGTGCAGTTTTTTTATTTCTCTTTCAAAAAGCTGAGTTTTGGTGTAGAAAATTGGCAGTAGTCTGTTAATTTTAAGGAGATAGTTTGAATTCGTGTTTAATGTTTTTAATCAACGAATTAGAAACACTAAAGGAAGGAGCATCTTGAAAAAAACAATGAAGTCAAATTTTTTCTAATTGTCTTTCTTTGCTCGGATTCTCTGGCCTCTACTATAAAATATGTGTAATATGCAAGAAGGATAAGTTAAACACTTTTTTCAAAGTAAAAACTAAAAAGTATTTCAAAATATTTTTTCATTTTAGAAAACAAAATTAAACAAAACTCATTATTTTTTTTTCTCTTTGAATAAATTTATTTTAAAAATTGCAAATATAAGTATTTTAATACCAATATTTTATGACCTTCAAAAATGAACATATTTTGTTAAAAAATTTCTTATATTATCAGTTTTGTTTGACAATTTTACTGAACAACTCTAAACACCCCTCTATTATGAACATCGGTATCGGCCGATATATTATCGGCAGTTCTCATCGGTTTTGGGTTTCTTCTGTATTATGAACCGATACCGATAAAAATATTTCAACCGATTAAAAGAAGCTTTTTCATACAAATTTTTGTTTTTGTAAATTGGAGAAAATGTTTTTTTTTCTAATGACATTTGTTTTCTTTCAAAAGTTATTTTCAAAAAATTTTTAAAACTATTTTGAATTTGGTTTTGATGTGCTAAAAAGTTGTAGTAAGAAAATTATTTTCTGTTAAATTTGTAAAATAAAAGTATACATATATCGGGAAAATGTCACGTGCATTATATTTTGAAAGTGAAGAAACGCAAGCTATTCAAAGACGACATATAAGAGATTCAACTAATCCATTGGATTTAGACAACAAAATGTATGTTTATGTACCTATTTTATTTTATTATTTATATAATATGTACACATTTTTTAGGTTTATCCAGAATTTCAGATTATCATTCCTTGCCAGGTTTAAGTCCTCTTCCATTTTTTCTACTAACCGCGCAATTTGTTTTTTGTTGCTTACGATTTTACTCCTAAATAAAATATATGAATAACATTTTGAAAGAAAATAATTTAGAAAAAATGCTTACATTTTAAAAAAGCAATTAATTACACCAGTTTCCTTGATAAAATGAAGATTTTACAAAAAAAAAATCTGTCGTCTAAAAATTTGTACCCGCTTTTAAATCGGTGAAAACCCGACAATTTATCGTTTTCATAATACCAGCTAATACGTTTCCTATACAGGGAAAAAAAGCTTTCCCGACTCCGATAAAATTTACCGATAAACAATGTTGGTAATACAAACACAAAATTTTGCCGATAAATTATCGTTTATCGGCCGATACCGATATACATAATAGAGGGGATATTAATAACAATGATTATAAATACATACATACACATAAATTTATTCATTCTAAAACAGTATAATTTTTAAGAAATTTTGATTAATAAGATAGTTATTACTCACTGAAGAAGATGGTATGTTGTCGTACTTTTTCCTTATTCATTAATTGAGCTTCACGTACTCATTCATCCTAAAACAACATATTTTATAAATAATTCGCGCTAATATTTTATTTTACTGAATTGAACGGCATCGGAACATCTTCACAAATTTTTTGTTGACCATATCCTTACCCTATAAAGGGAAATATATTTCATTTCTACATTTCATTTCATCGTTTCTAGGTAAACTGTAATTATACAAAAAAAAAAGATAATCTAAAATATTTGTTTGTGTGCTATATTTTATCAAACACAAACTCATTTTGCTTAAAAAAAAATCCAGTCCTGTAAAATTATGTTATCCGAAGTAATTAAAAACTTAATAAAATTACAAAATTATGATTTAATCAAAGCTCTATTAAGTAATTCGTTCTATTATTTTATTTTTGCAAATGAAAATAACAATTTAGAACTATGTATGTATGTATAAACCTTTTTTTTCAATAAATTTTTTTTTCACTTGTTATCAGTTTTTTAAAAGTTTTTATAAAATAATATTCTTTTTTTAACACTTATTATTAAATATTTTATCAAATTTTATTTAGAAACTGCACTAATTTTATAAATAAAATAACAAGGAATTCCTTGTTTACTTTTTATGTAGCGGCGCGAAATCTTCTAAGAAAAAAAAACAACATTTGGCATTTAGTGTTAATTTCAGTTTGACAATGCTCGGAACATAGAAGGAGTTTTTGGCTTCACTGTTTTTTTTTCAAGATACGATTTTTTAATGAGTGCAAGCGAGATAGAAACAAAGATGCTCCTTTTTTTAGTATTTCTAATTTTTTGGTTCTAATAAAGATCTACAATAGCAGCACATTTTCGTAGTTTGCTGCAAAAGCCATTCGTTTTTGTTGGTAGAACTGCAAAAGACCATGTGTAAGATCGGTAGCATAAAATATTTTTTTGCTTTTATATTCAAAAGTTCAATTACTAATTTATTTTTAAAAGGGTTTTTTTTTTTTTTGTTTGTAAACTTTATTTAATCCATTTTCTTCTTATTAACTATATAACAAAAAAGTTAAAAAAAAAAAATTTATTTACATAAAAAAAAAATTGGTATAACTAACTTAAAAACTTATTGTTTTCTTGTAGCTAGTTGTATTCTGTAATGTATTAGAGGATTGCTAGTTCATTAATATGATTATTAATTACAATAATTTCTTTTTTTTTTTATTTTAGGAAAATTGTTTTTGTAAAAAAACCTAAAATTAATTATTTTTTAATAAAATAAAAACCCTATCCTAACTTAATCTAAGCTTAAATTAAAGAGAAAATACTGGAAGTACGTCTCGCACAAAGTATTTCATTGTTTAAAGTTGTTCTTCTAGCCACCAGTAACCCCTGTTAATGAACGTATCCCTAATAGGTATACTCATATCAAATTTTAGATTACTATAACTCAAACAGGATGGGTTATAATCTATGGTTTTGCATGTAGCCCGTCTATTATAATGATATAATATAGGGACATGCGCGCTATCTTGGATATAACCCTTACTGTCTAAGTATATAAAATGTTCGGGCGCAATGAAACCCGTTATTAAACTTTCTTTAATATACTCCATATTGTGGTAAAATATATTTGATATTAGACCATTTTCAGGAGTTTTCAATGCCCTGTCAAAATGTCTTCGAATTAGTTTTATTAAAAAATTATCTATCCTATTAATATTGGCTACTTTATAAATATATTTATTAGAAAAATAGTGCTGGTAGTCAGTTTCAGGTTTGCGATTTATCCCGATACAAATCCTAATACATTTTCTTTCGAACACTCTGAGTTTTTCCATGAGACTTGCGCTCACATTCGTCATTACACTCTGATTAATATATCACCAAATCGGTGCAGCATACGTCATTATTGGTCTGATTAATGTAAGGTAAGAAATAGTTTTTACTCTATTACTAACATTTTTGCAATAAAATAATCGCCTCGATGCCATAAATGCTTTATTTGCTTTTTCAACTATTTTTTTTATATGAACAATGTAGTTAAGATTTCGATGTAGGTGAACGCCTAAATATTTAACTGTCTTTTTGTTTTCTAATAAATTATTATTATCAACTTTTATTCTAAAATTTTTCCATTTTTTCTTGATATTAAAATTAACTTTATCAATTGTGTTACGAAAAAGTATAGTTTCGCATTTATTAAAATTAATCTTTAGAGCCCATACTTTGCTATAGTCTTTTGTTAGATTAAACATTTTTTGAACTCTATTTTGAATTTTCTCAACCGTATTATCTGCAGAATATAGTATAATGTCATCTGCAAAGGCTAGTGAATAACTATTTCCTTTTACATGTCCTAGCATTTCTAGCAACTCAATTATGTAGATTGAGAATAGAATAGGAGAGTTTATGGTGCCCTGTTGCAGTCCATTTTCTATCCTAAAAATTTGTTTGCATAAATTCGAATCGTTAGCTATTACAAATTCATGATTAGATATCATATCGACAATTATACTAATAAGCCTCTCGGGAAATTCATATTCTATTAGTTTAAAAATTAATCCTTCAATCCAGATATTGTTAAATGCTTTTTCAAAGTCTATCAGACAAGCCCCTACACCATACTTCTGGTTTATGAACCAACATATATCAAATGTTAGTTTCGTTATGGCATGAACTGTGCTATGCTTATGCCTAAACCCAAATTGGTTTTCGAGCAAAAGCCGCCTATCATCTACAATTTGAACGATCTTGTCATTAATAATCATTTCATATATCTTACTTATGTTAGGAAGCAAACTTATAGGTCTATAACTATTAACATCCTATAACTATAGGATGTATACTATAACTATAACTATACTATAACTATAACATCCTTTGGGTCTTTTCCTGGTATTTTTAAAAGGGTAGATAGAGATATTTGAGATTTTATCAAAGTTTCTTTTGGCATCTTTAGTAGTTCCATTGCAGTTCAGTATTGACTAAAAAGATCCATCGTAGCCGGAACTAAAAACGCGAATTCAATCAAAGGCAACAGAGTTTTATAAAACCTTTAGATCTCTTCATAAACGCAGTATATCGCGATATATTTTACGTTGTATGTATTTCTCTTCAGAGACAAATGTTGCAAAATAAAATGGAAGAATCGAAGTAAGTAATTACAAAAATTATTATTTTTTTTTTGTAATCATATTGCATTTATTTCAATCAAATAATTTCATGTGCAAAATTATAATATGTATAATAATAATAATACATATTATATAATAAAAATGATAATTAAAAAAAAAAATTATAAATTTATTAATGTTTCGGTAAAAATTGAATTCTACGTATGATTTATTTTAATATTTAAATATGTATGTATATACATACATTTTGTGTGCTGTGAAAAGTTGCAAGGGACTCGAAAAATCGCTTTAAAACTTTCTTATTTTTTGTTTATACTCGTTCGTCTGAATACATTCTATCACCCTGCTTCGGGAATACCATTTAGTTCCGAATGCAAATAACAAAAATATTTTTCACTTAATTCAATCTTAAATTTTTTGTGACATCACGTCAGCTGTTAATGCTACCAACCTAAAAATATTTTTTATCGCACTTACAGAATTTAAAGTGACGACTGCCAGAATTTAAGGTGACGTGTAGTGATAGTTGTTTTATCACGTCGGGTTCGCGACTGACGGAATATGGGTGTATGTTTTCGTAGTATTGCGTGTCGCAATTACTGTCTGCAGTATTGTGTTAATGAAAATCTCGCTGATATCGTTAATGGCTCAAAAAAAAACGTATACCTGATCCAATGTCAAACGGAGATACTGTAAATTTTTTGTAATGCAATGTGAATAAAAGAGCCATTGCTGACCGGTGGGCAAAAAAAATGGCTTACTCAAATCCCTGTATCACAGGTTAAACCGTTAAATTAAAAAAAACTTGAAATATAGTAAAAACCTATTAAAATGTGAATGCATGTGCATAAAAAATTCATTTAATGAAGAGTAGAAACTTGAAAATTAAATAACGTATAATAAGCTGTTGACTCGCAAAATATAAAATATTACATCCATACCTCCTTGGCAATGCAAAAAATATACAGTGTGTTCGGAACTAAATGGTATTCCCTAAGCAGGGTGATAGAATGTATTCAGACGAACAAACAACACCTTGTGACGCTTTACTTTTTCAACCCTTGTTATCGAATTATGGGGCCTCAAAGTTGGAACATGCGAAAACCTTCTAATTTTCACATTTTTATTAATAACTCGGGAAATATGCCAGGTAAATCCCATTTCGTACACTCATTTTAAAGCTAATGAAATTCTTCTTCCAACAGTATACCACTAATTGCAAGGACTTCTTTTATTTGCAGAGATATTCAAGTGCAAAATCAAAAAGCCTTTTCATAAACACAGTATATCGCGATATATAGCGAAAACTGCGCTGAATTTGTGTTCATAAACAAATATTGCTAATCAAGTTTGTTCATAAACATTGTTAATATATCACAAAAATATTTAAATTAACACGGCTAGCGCAGTTAAATCAACTATCCTTTTTTTTACTAGTTTTTGCAGTTTCGTTTTACATTTTTAATTGTGAAATGTTGTACTTAAATATAACAAAATTTCTTTTTGTTTCAGTTTTCTTTTTTTGTTTTCTAATTTTTAATTTTCTTGAAATAGAATATTTCACTATTTGGTCCAAAATAAACGATTGTTTTTTTTAAAGACATTTTTTGTTTATCAACACAATATTGCAAATTCAAAATAGCAAAAATTTTTATACAACTGTTAAAAATATATTGCGTATGAGTTTATGAAAATGCCTAAAATTTTTCAAAAATCAAAATCTTCAAAGAAGATTGAAGGGTGAACATTACTTGGATTATAATTAATTTGTTATTCTTTACTGACCGCATTGTGTATAATGTCTTTATATCTAACAAGTACCAATACTCAATTTTTTTTACGAAATATTACGAATTTTTGGCTTCGTTGCTGGTTTTTTCTTTAAATGCCACTGATCGTGTCATATTTTTTATTACTTTTTTCTTTTTTTTTACGTAAAAAAGAGATTAATATTTTAAAAAATCTCAGGATATTATACACATTTTTTAAAAAGCTTCCCATTTAAATTCTATTGCACGAAAAAGAAAGAAAGGTAGGAGGAAAGAAAAAATGATAAAAAATTTCAAATTCATATTTCAGTATGGTTTCAAATCTTAATGAGGAAGGATGTATGATTTTTCATGCACATTTTGTATTTCCCAATAAGGTAAGTTGAGTAGTGTCGGCTAACAAAAATGTTAATAAAAGTAATATAGGTTGACACATTTCAACAATTTGAATTATCTCATTTCGGTTATTTATACGTTACTTATAAAATTGTTTCAAATAATTTCAGTTAGTTTTTAAGTTATTAAAAATAAATATGTATGTACCTACTTCCAATAAATTTTTTTTTAAATAATTATTTTAAAACTATTTCAAACATGTTATATTGGGTGCTTCAAAAATTTTGTTGTGCTCTTTTTTCATATTTTATTAGCAGGTAAACAAGAGCAATCCATTTATAAAATGTCCCTGCAT